GTTATCCTCGTGCTCCATTCCTGATGGCACTTTGTGCATAATAAATAAACGCCATGAAATACGCGACTTAACACGCAATGCGCAGCAAAGTCGCATGTCTCCATCTCGCGACATTGTGTGTGTGCGGTGTGTGTGTGGTGTGAGTGTGCCTGTGTGGGGTAAGCACCATATGACACCACCTTGACTCATTAATTACGCACTGGCATTTTTATTTTCATTGCATACTTTTATGCAATTTATTATTACAGCATTGCGGGGCAGCGCTGAAAAAAGACGCACACGCTGAAATACAAATTGCCTTTTTTTACACACACCCATATATTTAAGTATATATGCATACACCAGTGACTTATTTACCGAGGGAGGTGCTCACGGATGCTCTGGCCAACTCACACATACACTCAAGCGGAGTTGTGGCGAAAAGGACAAGCCGCAAATGAAATGAGCGCTGGATTTTTGAGCTGCTTTCCATCTTCACTTGGCCAGGACTTTCCTGATTGCCCATGTCCTTTGGGCCGTCCCATAAATAAACAAGATCTGTTTCGGAACTGTAAGCATTTATCCTTTAAAGAGGATATTGAACAATGCAGCTAAATTTGATTCGGGCAATTAAATGCAAATGAGTATCTATCAATTATTATGTTTACTATTTGCAGTTACATACCATTTTCATTTCACGGTTCATTGGTATTTTTTAGAAATGTCTAAAGTGAAGTTGAATTATAATTCCCATGCATACAACTGTATATGTGCTTCTTTTATTTAAATCTACTGTAAAATCAGTATACTCGCAATCGAATAAAGAATCTTTCCGATTCCCCTTCTAGAGGGTAATTGCAGTGCAGTAAACTCTGTTCGCCCCGAAAGATGTTCCATAATCAGAGGGCAGCTAAACTTAATTTTCCCCAAAAGGAGAAGGCTTTAATCTCAGTGCCAGATCGCAGCGCATTGCCATTTCGCTTATGCTGGCTGGCGACCCCTCGGAAAACCGAATAAATATTCACTTTTTACTTCACTTGTTGTTGTGGTTGCATTATTACTGTCGTAGTTGTAGTTGCTTTTGTCATTTCCAGCGGTGATGGTGATGGTGATGCTGCTTCTGTGGTCGTGCTGGTCGAAAATTCCCCAAAGAATCTGACGCACTTATCGCAAATTACTTTGGCAGTTGCAGCGCAGCGTTGCTTTTGTGTATAAATTTAACAATTTCCCCATACACGTGCAGGCATGTGTACATTGCAGCGCAGGGGATTGTAAATTACCATACACATACTGAGACTAAATGTGTCCAAGGAACGTGCAGTGGCCATGGCCGGGAAGGGACAGAGCGGGATTTGTAAAACTTTTGGCCAACATGGCGTATGCATAATATTTCTCCCAGCCGCATGTCGGCCGACAAACTTCATTAACAACAGAAAGCCAGAAAAGCAGCAAGCCCACCAACTTGCCGCAATAACAATGCAAATGTAACAGCTCGAGATGTTGCACGTTGCAGCTGCATCGGCAAGTTCTGCTGCTCCGTTGCTGGTGATGTTGCCGTTGCAATTGCATTTCCCCAATTAGCCGCACAACTCATTAAGCTTTCGCAGCGACTTACCGCCTCTTTTTAAAGCACACTTTCTGGCACTCGTCAATTAGCATTTGTTTCGGGGCGTTTAATGGCCATCCAGATGTTGCTGCTTCTGCTGCTTTTGCTGCTTTTGCTGCTGCAATAAATTATTGTTGCCACTGCCAGCTTCATAAGATGTTAACGCGCACTTAATGCCACTTAAAAATACGCATAAATCGCAGAAAGAGTTTCGGCCAAATGGGGAGAAAGGCAGAGAATGCGATGTGGGGCCGGTTGGCCACTTGTCCACTTACATGGCTACTTACAACGCTGCTCAAGCATATGCATGCAGATGACCATGTTGCAGCCACCAGCCATCATTCCACCCACCACCACCCAACATGCCACATCAGTAGCAGCTGCATAAAAACAAGGTCGAACGGGGGACAGCAGAAAATGTGCACAAAAATGAGGCAACAAAAATAAATAAAAATGAAAGGCGAGCAACAACACAGCAACAGCAACTGCAGCACGCAATTAAGTGCATTTAATTAATTATTGTTGATAAAATAATATTTTTGCAATTTATTGTACAAGCGCCAGTTGGGCGTTCCTGTGTTGGTTGGGTGGTTCGATGGGTGGGTGGTGACGTCCAGCGCCCGTTATTTATGCATATGTGAGCGCAAATAAATAACGCCAACGATGGCGGCTGGAAAAAAACACGGAAAAGGGCTGCTCAGGCAAAATTAGACGGGGAAATACTCAGTACCTAAGTGGGAATACTAACAACCGATTTTGATTAAACATGGCTAGGATAGAGAATTGCTCTACATTGAATTATTATTATAAAATTATTTTACTTAAATACTTTAAAGGCAATATACCTTCAGTCCCCAGCATTACAGGGTACCCATTACGTTTGCTGCACTCTCCTGCGTTGACGTTATCAGAACTCTGGCAGTTACTGGCCGCAGACGCAGCGATATCGCTCCTGTGGCAGGAGCATTGCCTATCGCACCGGCCAACATCGAAATCGAAACTATGGCAGATCAATTCGAATAACAATAATTTCTTCCGGTCGAACGGCAGCGCCAGAACAATCAGACAGCGGTAGAGATGCAGATATATACGGCTGCGAAAGTATCTGCATCTGCAACGGCAATCGCGACTGCAACTGCGACTGCATTGTTGCTGTTTGCTGCATTTTAAACAGGATGCGCATAAGTATACGAGGATTGACAGGATGTGCGGGCCATGCACACGCATTTTGTTTGCCGCTGACGCTGCCACGCCCATCCCTGGCCCCGCCTCACTTTAAATCGGGGGGCGGCATACACATGTTCGATGGGTGGCTGAAGCTCCACCCAGTAGCACTAATTTGTATTGTCCTCGCTGTTAATGAATTTCATATATTGTATTTATGCGAATGCACTTAATGCGAAAATTATTTGCGTTGACATTGCTGTGGATCGCAGGGGATTTTCAATCGGCTGACGATTTTCAGAGACGCGCTTTAAATAAGCTGGCGATAAAGTGATATTAGATGTTATGATATTTAAGCAAATTTTAATGTCAAACCAGATAATTAAAGTTGGATTATTGTAATAGCGATTTATTTAAATTCCCTTTTATTTCTGGCTATGGAATTCATGCAATGGAATTCATGGAAATTCATGTAAATTGACGTTGAAACTCGCACATCAATGGCTTTTGTTCCACTGCTCACGCTCCTCGCGCTCCTTTTGCACCTCGCTGAGATAGGGCTCCAGGTACTTGATGTCCTCCTCGTACTTGGTCCACTGCTCCTTGGGCAGGATCGTCTTGGTCATGGAAAGGTGCAGTGCCCGCATAATGCGGTAGTTGCGCTCATCGTACAGCTTGCGGGGCAGACGACGCACTGCCTCTGCCACATCCTCATTCTCGTACAGACAGTCGTCGCGATACAGGCCGTATTGGTTGAATCCGGACAGGTTGTAGGCCCATTTGCCCAGCTTGGAGAAAACCGCTGGGCCCACCTTAGCCACATATTTCGACATGCTTTATAATGAAGAAAAATTTGGATATGACAACTAGTAAGTCCTCAATCTGACAGGTAACTCAGGGATATCCTGGTGAACTGAAGTGTATGAATTGAGGGACTACGTATGGTCAAATGAGAAGGCATGATTAAAATCTCAGCAGGCCTGCCAAAACAAAAATCTTCAGGGAAAATACATAGCACATTTTCCCAGGAAAAAATAGTTTAAATGCTGTATCAATGCACTTATTTAATTTACGAAACTTGCAAAGTCGATTTGGACTGGCATATAATTGGGTGCGGATGTGGACTTCCATAACATGGAGTTGTCACAAAATGTTTTTGGCGGACGTCAAGTAGATTTTTCCAGCTGCTTTCCAGATCAGCAAGGGCCACAAGGGCCGAAGCCGCAAGAGCCAGGTCCACAGGGTCCACACGGTCCGCATGGACCACAGCCTGGTCCAAAGGGTCCACAGGGTCCACAGGGTCCGCAAGGACCGCATCCTGGTCCCCAAGGTCCGCAGGGTCCGCAAGGTCCGCATCCGGGTCCACAGGGTCCACATGGTCCGCACCTGCCCTCAGCCACTGGGTATTGGTTTGTGGAAAAGCAGGGCAGCGGGCAGCAGGCTCCTCCAGGAGCACATGGTCCGATGGGGCAGGGTGGGCAGGCTGCACTGGGCTTGTAGTTGATGGGTCCATTCGGATAGCAGCAGTACTCCCTTGGCGGCGGAATGTCGATGGTCTGCGGCTTCGGCTGGCACAGGATTGACTGGCACACCTCGCGTGGTTCGCAGACGCGCTTGGGATAGCACACCACATAGGGATCGGGGATCATCGAGGGGTAGTATATTACTCTGGGTTCTCGCACCATCTGCGACACCCAAATCAGTTTGGGCACCTTGATCACCCGCGTGGCATCCACGACTTTCGGTATCGTGATCTGCCTGCATCGGTTCACCACCATGGGCTCCGGCACTATCTTCTCCGTGAAGACCACGCGTTTTTTGCAGATCATGCGAGGTGGTTGCTGCACGGTGATGCATTTGGGAAAGGGTGGCGGGATACGTGGAGCACATTGTGGCAAGGCCTCCAGTTGGGCGGCATTGTAGCACTTGGGCGAGCATTCGAAGGGACCGCAGCAGGGATCGCAGGGACTGCAGGGACCGCACGGAGAGCACATGGTGAACTTTGACTAGAACTAACCAAAAAGGGTCAAAAAATTTTGTTTTTTTTTCTTATAAAATTTGTTCAGGGAAATTTAGAAGTGTATCGAAGCGAAACCGGTTTCGAAATGGGAGCTAAACCTAACCAACGGCCACAAGTACACTGACAAGCAAAGGCAAAGCCTACTATTTAGCATATATAAAGCCAATAGGTAGAACCTTAAGTAATCGTTGCAATTGCTGTCAAAAGAATTTGAAAAACTTTATATTCGCATAAATCCAATTTTTATTTACAGCCAATGAGTCGTCCATGCGGTAACAAAGTATAGAGAACTATAGACTTTTGGTAGTGATTGGTAGCAGGACGGCGAAAACATTATGGTAATCTGTATCGGTGATAGACAAGTTGGACCACTGGGCACTGTTTTCCGACAACATTCCAGGCAGCACAACGATGATATTAACAGGGGCCGCAGGGACCACAGGGCACCTGAGGACCGCAAGGACCAACTGGACCGCAGTGGGTGTTCCAGGGAGTTGGGGCGCACGGGTAGCACGGGCCGCACTCGGGTGACTCGTACGGACACGGGGGAGAACAGGGTCCGCAGGGTCCGCAAGGACCACAAGGACTGTTGCCGAGCGGTCCGCATGGCCCGCAGGGAGCACAGGGTCCACATGGAGCCGGGACAAACGGACCCGACGGCATTGTGAGGCCGCAGGGCCCGCAATTGGGCACAGCGCACGGTCCACCCGGACCGCATCTCGGCCCACAGGGTCCGCACGGGCCGGGTCCGCAGGGACCACATCGCGGTCCGCAGGGTCCGCAGGGTCCGCATCCTGGACCGCATGGCCCACAGGGTCCGCACCTGCCCTCGGCAACGGGATACTGGTTTGTGGAAAAGCAGGGCAGCGGGCAGCAGGCTCCTCCAGGAGCACATGGTCCGATGGGGCAGGGTGGGCAGGCTGCACTGGGCTTGTAGTTGATGGGTCCATTCGGATAGCAGCAGTACTCCCTTGGCGGCGGAATGTCGATGGTCTGCGGCTTCGGCTGGCACAGGATCGACTGGCACACCTCGCGTGGTTCGCAGACGCGCTTGGGATAGCACACCACATAGGGATCGGGGATCATCGAGGGGTAGTATATTACTCTGGGCTCTCGCACCATCTGCGACACCCAAATCAGTTTGGGCACCTTGATTACCCGCGTGGCGTCAACAACCTTTGGTATGGTGATCTGCCTGCATCGGTTCACTACCATAGGCTCCGGCACTATCTTCTCCGTGAAGACCACGCGTTTTTTGCAGATCATGCGAGGTGGTTGCTGCACGGTGATGCATTTGGGAAAGGGTGGCGGGATACGTGGAGCACATTGTGGCAAGGCCTCCAGTTGGGCGGCATTGTAGCACTTGGGCGAGCATTCGAAGGGACCACAGCAGGGATCGCAGGGACTGCAGGGACCGCACGGAGAACACATGTTTTCGACTCAAGTTTTCCAAAATAAATTTATAGAAAAATAGTATACTTTTTTTTTTTTTACGAATTTTTACTGTTCAATTTGGAAGTTATTCGGAGCGAAAGTAGAAACTGAATGAGATCCAACAGCACGACGACAGCATTGCGAAAGAATCCTAGCCCACTTTGATCGATATTTCGAAAACCGAGCTCTTTGATCATACTGTAGTGTAGTGTTTTTCTTGTGCAGATAAAGTGAAAATCCCTTTGAGCTTTGAATTGAAATATATGCGTACCATAGTGAAATCTGCTGGATTCGAATGCTTAACCGTTCGCAATGAAAAATCGCAGGACGGTTGTCGAATGGAATGCATTTTGCAAACCGGATTCCATCTCCACATGACGTATGCGCGACGCATCTGCATATATTTCAACAATATGGCATCTGCCGTTGAGTGGGTTTAAGCCTTTAATATGCTAGCGCCTTTATGTAGGCGGGCAGCTTTTTTCGGCGGGCCGAAAGCCAACTTGGAAAAAACCTACAACGAATTACAGAAAAACGTCGGAAAACACTCTGGCAGCGGCCGGCCTATTGAATATACATATATGGGTTTGTTTTTGCCCAGTGCCTGGACGTGTCAGCGCCGAAAAAGCGTTTGGTCGGTATGGTGGTTGGTAGTTGGTAGTTGGATGGGATATTCTGAAAGCTTTAGTGGGTGGGCGGTGCAATCGGCGCTTTGTGCATGCCACAGCCATGACGACACTGAACAATTGCGCATCCAGAAAAAACTACAACAAAGACCGTGGTCACAGCGGAGCATTGATGTTGACAAAGGCTTTTGCATGCGATTCAGGTGAATTCTAAAATATTTGCTCCATTTGAAAGCAAAAAAAATGCGGGGCCAAACGATACAATATGTGCTCCGAATAAGAAACGTTCTGCTAGCCAAACAATCAATAATAGACTTTTAATATTTTCTTAATAAGAGAAAACTTGCTTTAATTCTGTTTAAGTCATATTTTTTGAATTCATTTTAAAACCCATATCTAATAAATCGGCAATATTTAGATTGTTCAGCATTAATTGCTGTCTAATTGGTCCGGTTATATACATCAAGAAATTAAATCAAATTGCTTCCAAGAAGTTCGGATACAATAAATGTCTAAATTTAACCAATTTTAAGAGCAACATTGATTCAATCGATTTGGACTCGGGCGTTTCCTTGGAATCCGGCAACTTCTTTGGCCTGTAATAACAAGCCCTTGGCTTATGGCCGTAATTATGCAAGAAAAACATCAACTTCTTGGACTCGAGTGGCCCTGGAGCGCTTATCGAGCGACATGCTGATGGTCCTCGACCAAGATTCTAGCCGCAGACAAAGCGCCTGCTAATCCCACAATTTCCAGAGCCCAAAGAGCCGGCCTAATCACAGACCCGCCACTTGGCATCACAGTGCCACCGAAATTGTCAGCTAATAATGCAAACAATAACAGGCAACAGTCCGAAGAAATGGCGCACATTTCGCATAATTATGGACGGCTGCTTCCCCCTCCCCACGGATCCCTGTCGAGTTGGCCCGGCTAAGGCGGCGCAATTAGCGGACTTAGTTCAAGACTAGGCCGAAACAATGTTGGGCTGGGAAATGGGAAAATAAGCACAGATTGCCCATAAATTGGCGCCCACAATGCCTGCTGGAGCCGAGATAGAGCCGCAGGTTTCAGTTGTCGAAGATTTTAGGCAAGCCTGCACTGTGAACAAATGCTTAAAACGGCCATAGCTAAAATATGGTCATAGCATAAAGTGTTTTCTTTTTAAGTAACATTATGGGCCACATTTTCTTTCAACGTGTGTAGAAAAAATTGTAAATTGTGTGTAAAAAATTAAAAATGTCCTAGGGCTGAAGTTCTAAACTCCACACTACTGCACTTATCTTAATCGGACTGATGTTGCACAAATTCGAAAAAATTGAAATAATGTGCTCAGGCTGAAGTTCTTAACTCCATAACTCAACTTATCTTATTCGGATTTTGAAGTGGCATACCTCAAAATGTTTCTGGCGGAATTCTCTAAAAATCTGCATCAAAATTTAGAAATTTATTTTTTTTTTAATTTTTGTCATTTTTCTGATGTTATGATGTTGTAGAAATTCAAGAAAACTAAGAAATGTCCCCAGGCTGAAGTTCTAAACTCCATAACTCAACTAATCTTAATCGGATTTTGAAGTGGCATACCTCTAAATGTTTCTGGCGGAATTCTCTAAAAATCTGCATCAAAATTTATAAATTTATTTTTTTTTAAATTTTTTGTCATTTTTCTGATGTTATGATGTTGTAGAAATTCAAGAAAACTAAGAAATGTCCCCAGGCTGAAGTTCTAAACTCCATAACTCAACTAATCTTAATCGGATTTTGAAGTGGCATACCTCTAAATGTTTCTGCCGCAATTCTCTAAAAATCTGCATAAAAATTTAAAAAATGATTTTTTAAAATTTTTTTGTCATTTTTCTGATGCTTTGATGTTGTAGAAATTCAAGAAAACTAAGAAATGTCCCCAGGCTGAAGTTCTAAACTCCATAACTGAACTAATCTTAATCGGATTTTGAAGTGGCATACCTCTAAATGTTTCTGGCGGAATTCTCTAAAAATCTGCATCAAAATTTAGAAATATATTTTTTTTAAATTTTTGTAATATTTCTGATGTTATGATGTTATGATGTTGTAGCAATTCAAGAAAACTAAGAAATGTCCCCAGGCTGAAGTTCTAAACTCCATAACTCAACTTTTATTAATCGGGTTTTGAAGTGGCATATCTCTAAATGTTTCTGGCGCAATTCTCTAAAAATCTGCATCCAAATTTAGAAATTTATTTTTTTTGAAATTTTTGTCATTTTTCTGATGTTATGATGTTGTACAAATTCAAGAAAACTAAGAAATGTCCCCAGGCTGAAGTTCTAAACTCCATAACTCAACTAATCTTCATCGGATTTTGAAGTGGCATACCTCTAAATGTTTCTGGCGGAATTCTCTAAAAATCTGCATCAAAATTTAGAAATTTATTTTTTTTTAAATTTTTGTAATTTTTCTGATGTTGTAGAAATTCGAGAAAACTAAGAAATGTCCCCAGGCTGAAGTTCTAAACTCCATAACTCAACTAATCTTAATCGGATTTTGAAGTGGCATACCTCTAAATGTTTCTGGCGGAATTCTCTAAGAATCTGCATCAAAATTTAGAAATTTATTTTTTTTTTAATTTTTGTCATTTTTCTGATGTTATGATGTTGTAGAAATTCAAGAAAACTAAGAAATGTCCCCAGGCTGAAGTTCTAAACTCCATAACTCAACTAATCTTAATCGGATTTTGAAGTGGCATACCTCTAAATGTTTCTGGCGGAATTCTCTAAAAATCTGCATCAAAATTTATAAATTTATTTTTTTTTAAATTTTTTGTCATTTTTCTGATATGATGTTGTACAAGTTCAAGAAAACTAAGAAATGTTCCCAGGCTAAAGTTCTAAACTCCATAACTCAACTAATCTTAATCGGATTTTGAAGTGGCATACCTCTAAATGTTTCTGCCGCAATTCTCTAAAAATCTGCATAAAAATTTAAAAAATGATTTTTTAAATTTTTTTGTCATTTTTCTGATGCTTTGATGTTGTAGAAATTCAAGAAAACTAAGAAATGTCCCCAGGCTGAAGTTCTAAACTCCATAACTGAACTAATCTTAATCGGATTTTGAAGTGGCATACCTCTAAATGTTTCTGGCGGAATTCTCTAAAAATCTGCATCAAAATTTAGAAATTTATTTTTTTTTGAAATTTTTGTCATTTTTCTGATGTTATGATGTTGTAGAAATTCGAGAAAACTAAGAAATGTCCCCAGGCTAAAGTTCTAAACTCCATAACTCAACTAATCTTAATCGGATTTTGAAGTGGCATACCTCTAAATGTTTCTGGCGGAATTCTCTAAAAATCTGCATAAAAATTTAGAAATATATTTTTTTTTAAATTTTTGTAATTTTTCTGATGTTATGATGTTGTAGAAATTCGAGAAAACTAAGAAATGTCCCCAGGCTGAAGTTCTAAACTCCATAACTCAACTAATCTTAATCGGATTTTGAAGTGGCATACCTCTAAATGTTTCTGGCGCAATTCTCTAAAAATCTGCATCAAAATTTAAAAAATTATTTTTTTTTAATTTTTTGTCATATTTCTGATGTTATGATGTTGTACAAATTCAAGAAAACTAAGAAATGTCCCCAGGCTGAAGTTCTCAACTCCATAACTCAACTAATCTTAATCGGATTTTGAAGTGGCATATCTCTAAATGTTTCTGGCGCAATTCTCTAAAAATCTGCATCAAAATTTAGAAATTTATTTTTTTATTAAATTTTTGTCATTTTTCTGATGTAGAAATTCGAGAAAACTAAGAAATGTCCCCAGGCTGAAGTTCTAAACTCCATAACTCAACTAATCTTAATCGGATTTTGAAGTGGCATATCTCTAAATGTTTCTGGCGCAATTCTCTAAAAATCTGCATTAAAATTTAAAAAATTATTTTTTTTTAATTTTTTGTCATATTTCTGATGTTATGATGTTGTAGAAATTCAAGAAAACTAAGGAATGTCCCCAGGCTGAAGTTCTAAACTCCATAACTCAACTAATCTTAATCGGATTTTGAAGTGGCATACCTCTAAATGTTTCTGCCGCAATTCTCTAAAAATCTGCATAAAAATTTAAAAAATGATTTTTTAAAATTTTTTTGTCATTTTTCTGATGCTTTGATGTTGTAGAAATTCAAGAAAACTAAGAAATGTCCCCAGGCTGAAGTTCTAAACTCCATAACTGAACTAATCTTAATCGGATTTTGAAGTGGCATACCTCTAAATGTTTCTGGCGGAATTCTCTAAAAATCTGCATCAAAATTTAGAAATATATTTTTTTTAAATTTTTGTAATATTTCTGATGTTATGATGTTATGATGTTGTAGCAATTCAAGAAAACTAAGAAATGTCCCCAGGCTGAAGTTCTAAACTCCATAACTCAACTTTTATTAATCGGGTTTTGAAGTGGCATATCTCTAAATGTTTCTGGCGCAATTCTCTAAAAATCTGCATCCAAATTTAGAAATTTATTTTTTTTGAAATTTTTGTCATTTTTCTGATGTTATGATG